CATTCCATCAGCTTATGATGCACTCCGCCACCAAGCCCAATGTATTCTATAAACATCTCACTTATTGTATAAGCATCTCCTTCATTGTAACTACTACTTTATTTGTACATCTCTGGCTTCCATTCACTACCCTTTGTGTACTCACTGGCTTCATCAGCTTATGGCTATTATGTTGTTTTCTTTGTCAATTATGTTGTCTCATTGTAATATTCAGTATATATATACAAATATATATATACTGAGTCAAAAAAAAGAAATTTCACATTCTTTCTTCAGGGCACTTTAAAAGAACAAGAGATGGTAAGATGGTTAAATTGTTATTATTTCATTGCTGAGATCTGTGTGATGTACTCGATACACTGACAGTGCCATAATCAGTTCCATAAGGCTACACCGCCGTTCCAAAACATGGGTATACAGAATGTCAAGTCTCAAGAATAAAAATGCGAAATTTCTCAGTTCAATATCGTGTATGGCCGCCCCGCGCATTCACCAGTGCCAAACACTGTCTCCTCATCGACTGCCTGATGCTTGTGAACACGTGGTTGGGGATTTTGCGCCACTGCTCTTGCAAGGCAGCGCCAAGTTCCTGCAAATTCTGAGGTTGGTTCCTAAGTCCACGAAGCCTTCTCCCAAGTGCACCCCAAACGTGCTCTATTGGATTAAGGTCAGGGGACCTCGATGGCCAGTCCATGACGTTGATTCCAGCGTTTTGAAGGAAATTTCGTGTCAACATCGCGGTATGCGGCCGAGCATTATCATGCTGGAACTGTAGACCTGGGCCATGAGCCGCCATGAAAGGAACGAGTTCAGGGGTGAGCACATGGTCGCGGTAAGCAGCAGCTGTGAGGTTTCCACGGATGACCAGAAGTCGGGAACGGTTGTTCCCACAGAAAGCACCCCACACCATGCAACTTCCGCCCCCGAATCTGTCGACTTCCTGTACACAACATTGGGCATACCGTTCACGACGTCGTCTCCAGACTCTATGCCTGCCGTCCGCGAATCTGAGGGTAAACCTGGATTCATCGCTAAAGACGACTTGATTCCCAGTCTCTGGGTCCATCGGAGGTGACGTTGGGCCCACAGCAGACGTTGACGTTGATGAAACAGCGTCAATATTGGCCCACGATATGGACGTCGAGAATGGAGATTGGCAGCTCGCAACCGATTTCGAATGGTCTGTGAGAACAGTCGACCCCTAAACATCTCAGCCCTGGTTCGTGTAGCCGGCAGAAATCTGTCACGTAGGTGACGTAGGACGATTTGACGGTCTTCTGCTCGTGACGTCACACGTGGACGACCCGACCTTGGGCGATCAGAAGTGGTGCCAGTTTGTTGTAGACGACCTCGCAAGTCATACACAGTACGACGGCTGCATCCCATTGCTCTTGCGACGTCAATAACTGATCTTCCCGCTTGCAACATGCCAACGGCACGTTCACGTTGCACATTTGACAATCGTGGCATTTCAAGTACCGTTAGAACTGTGGTTTAAAAGTGTTTTTTCAATTCTTGAGGCCAATGCAAACACGTGCATATGAAGAAAACTTCGATGCGAAGATCACGTGATCGACTGCACGTGCAAAACCTGATTTGGCACTAACGTCATTTGCACGACGAATGGATGGGTTTGAGTGGGTTTTGCTAACGTTTCTCTAGAGTCGAAAGATAGGGATCCCATTTCGGATACATAGATGTATCATCAGAGACAAATTATTCATTATTTATCAAATTACATTTTGTGAAGTTTCTTTTTTGTCTGAGTATATATATATATATATATATATATATATATATATATATATATATACATATATACATATATACATATATACATATATACATATATATACATCTCCTCCACTTCATGTATCACACTTGCTTGACAACGGTACAAGAATCTGTATCAAAACGTCGCACTCACGAAATAAAGAAGGTGCTATCCATAAAAATGGTTCTATATAGTTCACGCAAGTGGCACGAAGGTTATGCGTACCAGAAATTTTGAACATGCACACTGGTACGCAGCCCCCGCACAGTTTATGCACATTTCACAACAGTTTACGCCGAGTTCACTCATTGGAACGCAAAATTGCGTACCAGTGCGGGACAAAATTCGTGCAAGTGTCAGGGTGGCTTAAGACCCCAAGGTCCCGAGGCAGGTGATCTACCTTCAGTTGCTGGCAATCTATCGCCCGTTCTTATATTGAATCGTTCGGTATTGTGATATCCTTTTTTGATGATAACATGCTGGTGTTAAGTCTTAATCTGTGATACTCTGCTTGTTTTACTGCCCATTGTCGACGGTTTTATAGTCATACTCTATATTTATTCCTTATTAATATACATGGATAGAGTGTTCTCGTCGCGATATTGCTGAGATACTGCTGATGTGATAATAGATATCAACTACAGCGCTGTATATGTTTATACACACCAAAACACTCCCGAAACTGAATACGGAAAGGTGGAATAATGCACACGCCAGTGTCACTTTCCATCGATATACACTGCATCCAGGATGACACGTGGTCAGTGTAACTTTTCATCGATATACACTGCTTCCACGATGAAACCTGGACGGTGATAGGAATTAACGTGGAAAGACAAGTGTTTATGGATGATCAACTTCTTTATTGTATGAAAGCGACGTTTCGCTTGACGATGCTTAAAAAATTGTACAAGTATCAATACCTATACGTCGCTATAATACAATAAAGAAGTTGGACATCCATAAAGACTTGTCATTCCTATTACTTACAATTTCTAGAATGCCTCTCAAACATTTAATTTACGTGGAGTCGTGTAACCTGAACCTCAGGTGTGCAGTTCCACAATATGGCAGCAACACTGCACGAACAGCTTGAGGTCGTGGTTGAATGCTGTCGTTACCGATCCCTCGCAGTCTCTGCACTAATAGGACGAATACCATAGATTATGAGGCAAAGAGCGATTTTTGAAGTTGAACTTGATGGTATTGTTATATCTTACTCTTCGATCAGAACGTGGTCGGTTCCTTGTTTTGCCTATCTGTATGGTGTTAAGATGAACACCAATGCGCCAAACAAAGAATTGTCCAATCCAGGTTTCACGCATTAAAAAGGCACACAAATCGCTTTTTTTCTGATATGCGTGACATAAACGTTCCGCTATTTGACTGTCCAAAAACTTCATTCATAATTACAGCACTTACAAGTGGCCTACAAGAGCTGAAAGCAGCAGCATTGTGGTCCTTATCAGACGCAGGATCAACAATTGTAGGCGTCAACACAACGCGTTACGGCACATGAGCTTTTAAAGATTTAGGCTACCTCGTGGAACAAGGAACACACTAGCGGGTGGAGACCAGACATCTCACATAAGTGGAAAGTAATCAACATGACCACCACCCGTTAAGTAGTACAATGCCAGCAAAAATTATCATAATAAATTACTGTGTAGTCCATTAAAGATACAAAAATTGTTTCTTTCCACGATTGTGACTGCGAGAGTGTGAATTATTGTCTCAAATATAGGCCGGGGGTGGGGGTGGGGGTGGGGTTGGGGTTGGGTGTGGCGCTGGCATATACACGCGTTCTGATTCGAGACGACCTGGGATTGAATATGTGGGGTTGTATTATCTACAAGCAAATGCCTGGACCGGAATATAGAATGGAAACGGCAAATAAAACGAAGATGTTACCGAATGTGTGGACTATTTGACGGGTCAGTTGTAAATTCCGAGTTTCACAGAGCAGGAATTACGTAGACATGGCTTTTTCTGGGATGTTTGGAAACTGGACAAATTCGAGAAACGGCATCAAGTACTTTCAGATTGTTGTTTGAAAAATGTTAACCCAGGTTTCATTATGTTAATTACGTTTGTGTATATGCAATCACAAACGTTTATCATTATGATCATTTATTTTCTTGTGCAACACAATTATTTATCTGTAGGAAATGGATACTTGTAGACAACACTTTGTTAACTGAAGATAATGGACTGTATGAGGACAACATACATGTTTATACAATTATATTTTGTACATAACTTCTGTATATAATAATTATATTTTGTACATAACTTCTGTATATTATAATTATCTAGTAGTGTATAAAGGGCACATATGGAGGGTGTACGCACGTGGGCTGAACAATTATTGTTGTGAGTGACGGATACACCAAAACAATGATACATTTACATCTGTGAGTGAAGGACACACGCGGAGGACGCTTTACTCCAGCCGTAGGTGATGGACACACCTGGAGGACGCTTTACGCCAGCTGTTGGTGATGGACACACGTGGAGGACGCTTTACGCCTGTTGTAGGTGATGGACACACGTGGAGGACGCTTTACTCCAGCTGTAGGTGATGGACACACGTGGAGGACGCTTTACGCCAGCTGTAGGTGATGGACACACGTGGTTTGTTCAATATAATAGTGTGTTTCTATTTAAATATAAATATATAGTGCTGGAAATGCAGAATAAGATTCCACGCTTTATGTGGACATGTCGTTATTGTTGACCCGCGCAATGATCATCTGAGTGTGAGTTCCAGTAGATAAACATGTGTGCACACAGCTCCTGAGTCACGCCCAACACCGGTTTGGGTTGTTTGTGTTCCACTCGGAGGTAAAAGGCGTAGGCTGACAGCTGATATTATCTCAAGTACATCTAACCTATTGTGGCCGGCTTCTAAACCTCCTGCTTCATAAAAATGATGTAAAAAATACATTAATAAAAGACTCACAGCTGAACAGAGGTACATGTACATTAAAATGTAATAGTTATGCCCCACCATGGCCTGTTTGAGGGTGCACGCAGCTTTGCCCAGATGAACTTTGCCCACTAGGAACACTGCCCACCACTATCTTTGCAAGGGAGGAATTTTGCCCACAATATTATTATTTTGGCCATCATAATAATACAACATTATATAAGGTAAGCATGTTTGCTTTATTGAACTTCACAGAAACAGCGAAGCGGTGGGGTGGCCAGCGATGTAGTGAAGTGGCTAGGAGGATGGTGAGATGGACAGTTGAGTGATGAGATGGGCAGTTGAGTGATGAGATGGACAGTTGAGTGGGATGGCCAGTAGAGAAGTGGGGCGGTCAGTAGAGTAGTGGGGCGGGCAGTTGAGTGGTGGGGTGGCCAGTACAGCGGTGGGATGGCCATTTGAGTGGTGGGGCGGGCAGTTGAGTGTTGGTGTGGCCAGTAGAGTGGTGGGGCGGGCAGTTGAGTGTTGGTGTGGCCAGTAGAGCGGTGGGGCGGGCAGTTGAGTGTTGGTGTGGCCAGTAGAGGGTGGGGCGGGCAGTTGAGTGTTGGTGTGGCCAGTAGAGGAGCAGGGCGGGCAGTTGAGTGTTGGTTCGGTCATTGGAGTGGTGTGGCCAGTAGAGGAGTGGGGCGGGCAGTTGAGTGTTGGTTCGGTCATTGGAGTGGTGTGGCGGGCAGTTGAGTGTTGGTGTGGCCAGTAGAGCGGTGGGGCGGGCAGTTGAGTGTTGGTGTGGCCAGTAGAGGGTGGGGCGGGCAGTTGAGTGTTGGTGTGGCCAGTAGAGGCAGGGCGGGCAGTTGAGTGGTGGGGTGGCCAGTAGAGGGTGGGGCGGGCAGTTGAGTGGTGGGGTGGCCAGTAGAGGGTGGGGCGGGCAGTTGAGTGTTGGTGTGGCCAGTAGAGGAGCAGGGCGGGCAGTTGGAGTGTTGGTTCGGTCATTGGAGTGGTGTGGCCAGTAGAAAGTGGGGCAGGCAGTTGAGTGTTGGTTCGGTCATTGGAGTGGTGTGGCGGGCAGTTGAGTGTTGGGTGTGGCCAGTAGAGCGGTGGGGCGGGCAGTTGAGTGTTGGTGTGGCCAGTAGAGGGGTGGGGCAGGCAGTTGAGTGTTGGTGTGGCCAGTAGAGGAGCAGGGCGGGCAGTTGAGTGGTGGGGTGGCCAGTAGAGGGGTGGGGCGGGCAGTTGAGTGTTGGTGTGGCCAGTAGAGCGGTGGGGCGGGCAGTTGAGTGTTGGTTCGGTCATTGGGTGGTGGGGCGGGCAGTTGTTGGTGGCCAGTAGAGCGGTGTGGCGGGCAGTTGAGTGTTGGTGTGGCCAGTAGAGCGGTGGGGCGGGCAGTTGAGTGTTGGTGTGGCCAGTAGAGGGTGGGGCGGGCAGTTGAGTGTTGGGGCGCAGGCAGTTGAGTGTTGGTGTGGCCAGTAGAGTGTTGAGGCGGGCAGTTGAGTGGTGGGGTGGCCAGTAGAGGGGTGGGGCGGGCAGTTGAGTGTTGGTGTGGCCAGTAGAGTGTTGAGGCGGGCAGTTTAGTGGTGGGGTGGCCAGATGAGTTGTGGGGTGGCCAATAGAGCGGTGGGGTGGCCAGTTGAGTGGTTGGGTGGCCAGTGGAGTGGTGATCGTGCGATGGCAAAGCACTAGATCATATGCGATAGATAAAGTCCAAGTATACTGATCGGGAATGTGCCTTGCTAATTCAGAGCCTGTTACCATATCGTACACCAGTCAATAGAATAGCTAGCTGCTGTGTCATCGTTTGCTCTGATTACACTGCCATAGTCATTTAAAGTGAGTTTCTATTCTAAGCTATAATCTTGTGCTGCTTGGTGGAAGGGGATGTGACTCTGCAGCAACTCCAAGTCAAGTGTAATAAAGAATCGGTTACCGAATGCAGCTTCTATAGATGGAGATGTTACGGTCACTCTTTCATATAATCACTATCCAAACGTGCTTTAGTCGCAACATGTTCTCCAGAGATCCATATAACAGTATTATACACCGCCAGTAAAGTTAATGGTGTTTTTTTACAATTGCACGGCCTTATGTTCTAAACGATATATCTTTTTTCATCAGCGGAAGTCAAACTAATTGTAAAAGATAGTCGGGCAGTTCCTGGAATTATCCTATCATTAGCGCCCGAAATAGGAAAGTGTCTGATTCTGATCAATGGTACTTGGATTATTAGTTTCTGACTGACGAACTCGCATCCGTGTTGTAAAGACATTGTTATAACACAACGATGTTTTCTTTTCATTAAAATAAAAATGGATAATATTGAAATGGATGATATAGTAGAGACTTCCACAATCGATGAAATCAGTCGACTGTTAATGATTATTATACGACGCTTTAAAGGGAGATAAATAAAATTGTTACTCATATTAGATGTGACTATTTTAAGTTAATTAGATCAAAAAGGGAGTATGTGCCTCTCCAGACAGAGATCGTATTCATTCTCGTCCTCGGAAACCCCTAGCGTTGTCTACAATAGCTGGGCGCCATGTTGGTATCAACACTATTCGCAATGAATTAGGCCTTGTAGACCGTAAATCACGAGTATTATCTGCAAAGACCACTAAGGTTCTTAGAACAGTGCGGACTGAACTCGGTGCAACCGCAGCTGCCATTGATACAAGTAATTCGTGAGATGTATCACAACACGCTAAAGAAGCTTCAGAAGGGTCTAAAAGGAAATGTTGACGACTTATGATGAACCTAAATTACAGGCAATAGGCTTGCAGTGCAGTATTAGGGAATAGCAAGGCCAACATGAAGCAATGCAAACAATGCACGGATCTCTCACCAATAACATAGCTAATAAGCCAGACGCTCTTGACAAGCACATGTGGAAAAAACAAACTTGAGATGAATTCAATGGACGTTGTATTGCGGAAAGATTGCTTAACTGAGACAAAAGGTCAGCCGGAATTGGAAGACTAGACTAGGCTGGTATGGAAATTATGGAATCCTAGAAGGGACATTGTCGCTATGTCGCATTGTCGCGTTGTCAAAAACAAGTAAAGTGAGGCAAAATAAACCAAAACGCGATACGTGACATCGCGACAACGCGACATTTCGCCCATTTGTCGCATTGTCGCGATGTCGCGTGTCGCGTTTTGAATAATATTTTTCTATTCCTCCAAAGGGCGACACGCGACATAGCGACAATTTTCAAGGTCAAAATATGTCGCGTTGTCGCGCGTCGCCCTATCTAAGATGTGTAAAAAGAAGCCTAAAAAATCACTAAAACGCGACACGCGACATATTGTCGCATTGTCGCGTGTCGCGTTTTCGCCCTTTTCGATTTCCGGTGCGCATGCGTAGAAAGTCAATGAGTCTACGCATGCGCAGGAAATGTTATACTCTATTTCACACTTCAGTGGTCTTTTGTTACCTCCAATGGTTTTTACAATGAAGTAGTACGCGTAATGATAATGGGGGCTGCTTTTCTTGAACTTAATGGAAATCTTTCATTGTTGCTTTGAAAATTATTGTATATATTGTAAATGTATTTGGCCAATCAAGTGTGTTTTAGCAGTCAGACAAATTATTAGCGCTACTATTCATTGTAATCACGGCACACGGTGGCTCTGTCATTCAAGGCGGGGCAATTTGCTATGCAGAGTTGTGTCTCTTAGTCACACCAGAAAACTATGATCATAGGTTCTAATCCCAGTACCATACACATTCATCACTTTGGACATTTCACCCATATCAAGCTCACTGGTTGTGAAAAAACTCAAATATTGTTAAAATTCAGGCCACATCGGCAGAAACATCAAGTGATGTCCACGAATGGGTCACTATGTTCCACAGTGTGGCTCCTCAGAGAGATTCTTGGTACAGTCCTGCATGTCCGACGCTGATGAACTTGTTCAGCCAGCAGTGGATGGATACCAGGTAGAATGAGATGGTAATATTACTTAACCATCCAGCACCTCAAATACAGTTTTGGTCGACTTTGAACGTGATATTCTTCTTGGGAAAACGCCATACAAATGGAATGTTATCATTATGATTTTAAAAGCGGTCAAATCGCTTGGCAGAGTTGCGTACCCTTGGAGTGCCAGAAATCAACCCTCGCTCGCTCGCTCCCTCACTCCGCTCCGCTCCCCGCTCCACCCACTCACTCACTCCACCCCTCTCCTCTCTTCTCCACTCTACTCCACACCACTTCGCTCCACTCCACTCACTCATTCCGCTCCACTCCGCTCACTGACTCACTCATTCCGCTCCGCTCCTCTCCACTCCCCTCCCCTCCACTCCGCTCACTGACTCACTTCTCTCACTCACTCATTCCACTCCACTCCGCTCCGCTCCACTCACTGACTCACTTCTCTCACTCACTCATTCCGCTCCACTCCACTCCACTCCACTCCACTCCACTCACTCACTCCGCTCACTCACTCACTCCGCTCCCCGCTCCACTCACTCACTCATTCCACTCCACTCCACTCCAATCCGTTCCACTCAAATCCAATCCAAACATCGAAAAGTAATCATGCTTGTGATAGTTTATAAAATCCGCCGTAACTAATAAAACGCGATACGCGACAATGCGACAACGCAACATTTTGATGAAATGTCGCGTTGTCGCATTGTCGCGTGTCGCGTTTTGTTAAAATATTGACTATAGTATGTATTATAACGTATTTACTAAAACGCGACACGCGACAATGTGACAACGCGACATTTTGATGAAATGTCGCGTTGTCGCGCTTTGTTAAAATATTGAGCATAGTATGTATTATAACGTATTTGACTAAAACGCGATACGCGACAATGCGACAACGCGACATTTTGATGAAATGTCGCGTTGTCGCGCGTCGCGCTTTGTTAAAATATTGACTATAGTATGTATTATAAGCACAGGGGTTCGAATCACTGTTTGGCCTCTCTTCGATAAACATCGACAGTTTCCGTGGATATTTTAATGACTCGGAAATAGAGAACGGCTCAGCCTGGTTCCCAGGGTCTGCTGCCCTAACGCTTCCACACTGAAAAAGCCATTTATTATCTAATTCTTTTCTTATGTATTATGAGGAAATAATTGATAAAGTTCAAACCATTGTTTTTTAAATGCGGGTGTGCTTGTAAAATTATCGGCTCTTAGTAACATAATACAGAAAAATATATTCCTTATCTTGAGTTACTTTGGTACATATAATTTGTAATAAAATTAAACAGATCCATCCATGTACACACTTTTTTTCGAAGATTGTTGGCTGAATCGGTTTGTAAAACAACATGAAAAGGTTTTACCAATATTATTCAGAAATGTTTATGATTAAAATAAACATGGGGAATCAAATGATCTGTACAGAAAACACACACAATTACACTGCTGAATACAATAAATTTGGCCCACTATTTTACTAAAATGAATACACAGTATGATCAGTATGCTAATACACTACCATAAAATTACATACATTGCCTTAAAAGTACATATATTTGTAGATTAACATTTAATACAGATGTACATTGCGCTATTTGAGCTTTTTACCACTGAAACTTGTCCTGAGTACTGTAGTTTTTATGGCTTGAAGCCAGTATCAGTGTATACATTTGGTATACATGTATACTCTCCCAAAAAAGAAACGCATATAGGAATTTCACCTGTATTTTTATGTTTATTTTGAAACATCTTGTATGCTTTATGAGTGAATGAAATATAGCGAAATTGCACACTGGGAATGCAGACTTATCCGTCTTTGGCACCAACTCGAGGAAAGTCAGTTTGAGTGTCACATGGAGACGTGTGGTGGCGCTGAAGTCAATACCTCGTGTGACACCAGTGGGCATCCAGAACTGCACGGCATCGCCTCGGCATCGAACGAATAAGTCTCAGAATCTCGTGTTGCCCAATCGCAGCCCACTCTGCCTGCAGTGCCTGTGCGAGTTGCTGAAGTGTCTGGGGCCGAGGGTTACGGCGTCGCTACCGTCTGTCCTGGGCAGCCCACAGATGTTCGATCGGGTTTAAGTCCGGTGATCTTGTCGGCCGAATCTGTCCACCTAGGGAACGCAAGCGTGGGCGAAACGTTCACGTCGACGTCTGTACACCCGCATTCTTCCATCGCGTCGTTCCAATAGAAATCGTGATTCATCACTGAACCAGATTCTACGCCAATTCGGTAGGTTCCAGGGCTGTGCATACAAACATAAACTCTGTCAAAAAAGAAACGCAACCCCTGTCCTCAGATATGAAAAATTCGTTTGAATGAAGTTATTGCTTCCAAACTAAATGTTATTCGAATGTATTGAAATTATACACGTAATTAATGAAGATTACCATCCAAACAACTGCATTTGTACGCATAAGTGTATTTTATTGCTTATTCCGTCACAACGCATGAAATGACCCTCATGGTGACTTCGCACAAAAAAACCACATGCAAATCATGAAAATGGCAGTTAATGTAGGGGTGTATAAAAGCCCATGTGCTTTCGTATTATATTCATTCATTTGTCGCATGAAAAGCTGTGTGAAAAATGCCACGATTGAGTGCTGCCGACCGAAATATCGCCATTGGTCGTGTTCAAGCCGGAGAAAGTTTTGGAACTGTTGCACGGCACCTAAATGTTCACAAAACAACGATATCCCGACTTTGGAGCCGCTACAACAACTTCAGTTTGACCAACGATCGCCCGAGAAGTGGAAGGCCAAGAATCACGACCCCCCTTCAAGATCGGTACATCCGGGTCCATCACCT